GAAATGGGTGCTGTCAGTGTAAAAAACGGCCACACTAGTCATACAATCCACAATATGCACATTGCACATATTGTAATGTGAGGTAAATTTGTGGCTAAGTAATTGTTTTCCCTTGATCAATGATGTTGGGTAAGGTTGAATATCTTAGATCCATTAAAGTATTTTAAGTTGTTCTTGCTTGTTCTTTGTACCGCTACACTGCCTTTTCATTCTAACAAAGACAATGGTGTTTCTATAGAGGCTAACCTTTGACTGTTGTATGTCAAAACCTTAAACCCTTTCCCAATACAACTAGAAACACCTGGATTCATATAACTCTAAACTAACCTTGTGATGAAAATTCATGTGACATTTTTAGGATTTTGCCACAAACAACAGGTAGCTTCTGGTAAGGTTTTCTTTGTCACCTTAGAAAACACAAATGCAACACTGAACCAGTTTCAATATCGGATTAGAGGGTTAGGGTTAGGGTTAGTGGTAAAGTAGGTGTTTGGATTTACATCCTATCTACAAAGAGTGAACTGAAGACTCTGTGATTTTGTACACAGAAGTTTTAAAACTGCCAGAAAGTTAAATTCAGTGTCTGCTTTTTTGTAGAACCAGTTGTTCCATACCCTGTTTTGTCATCTGGATTAAATTGAACTAGGGGAGAAGAAGAATTAGAGATTAAATACGAACAATTGTCTGAATGTTATTAACAAAACATGTATTATAAATAAATGAAAGGACAGGTGAGGAGTGTTTCAGAAAGTGAAATATCAGATACTGAATATGTTAAACTGTAAAGAAAAAAATGACCTTGTTTTTACAGCAGGGAGTTTATAGAGCTCATACAAAATTCCGTTAGTGAGTCAACCGGCCCAAAAAACACAGCAACGAGACTGGAGAGAGCATAAAACAACAGAGACAGATAAGGAGAGAGATTTGTAGTCTTATAGCCGAACTAGTATTTTTTAAAAGCTCAGAGGAGAGATGAGGAGGCACGTGGAGACATAAAGGACGGCATGAAAAGAAGGTCTGCAGGGGAAGGAAATGAGAAACATTCATTCACAGAAAAAGGTTAAGAAAGAGGGAGAGAGGCCTGGCAACAGATGGAGGAGAAGGATGGGGGGGGGGGGTGCAGGAGGAAGACCAGAGGGAGAAAAAATGGCAGAAGATTCAGGACAGAGTGATGGAGGAGTGGAGAGGGGGAGATAAAAGTCGCTGAGGGGCCCGGCTCTTTCACCATCCATCTCCTCTGAGCTGCTGCAGAGAGAGAGAGAGAGAGAGAGAGACAGTCACAGTCTCGGCCATCAAGCACTTATTGACAGTACTGCAGCAGCCACACACACACACACACACACACACACACACACACACACACACACACACACACACACACACACACACACATTACAACAGCATTTACGACGGGCTTAGAGCTTCCAGGCAGGCCAGAGGAATGACAGGCCACTTTCTGCTGCTCAGAGCCAAGCGGAGGACACACTTTTTACTTCTTGTTGTGAAAAGAACATTTTGACGATTGTGATGCCAATACTTGTGTGCAAAATTTGTAATTTACAAACGTTCAAAAAAAAAAAGTTCAGTAAAAAAATATCTGATGGAAAATGCTGGAAATGAATTATCCTGCAAGTGACAACGGAAACAATGTTATCTTCTTTAACTTCTATGTTCACTCTTTACCTTGAAAAAATATTTTAGAGATATTTTTCATTCAAACTGACTTTCTTATTTACCAGATGAAGATTATTTAACCTGTCTGCGTTTTGGCTGAACTTTTTGAGCAAACGCAGGTTTCAGTCTGGCCCTCACTTCCTCTGATGGACAAATCTTCATGGACTGTGTCCTTTCACTGCAGGATAGTAGACCAGATGTATGCTGTACAGAAAGACGACAAGCTACAGGAAGGCCAATTCAGGGATTGAAATGAATATGAGATTTATATCCATTGTTCAGCTGGAAAATATAAGAATGATGACACACATCATGCTGCCTTGATGCCATGTGTGGGCTTCCGTACGAGAAACAATATACTCGGGTTTTAGAATGCACATTGTGTGCCAGCTGTGTTATCCCCTCTAGACTCACTCTCCATTGATGTATTTGCATATTTCCCCCTATTTTTTCTCTCTCTTTCTCTTTAGTGTTTGGTGTCGGTCCAGTGTTCCTCCTTCCCGTGGATCCCCCTCTCGCTCATTTCCCAACCTCATTCTGTCACTTACCCCGCCCGCCCGGCACCGCCCCACATATACGTCAAAGGTGCACTATAAAGAAGCTGTGCAGCCAGCATGGAGGCACTATTGGCAGAACTATAATGGAGACAACGATTTATGTTCTGAATCAGGTGTGTGTGTGTGTGCGTGTGTGTGCATGTGTGTGTGTGTGTGTGTGTGTGCGCGGTGCATGTGTTGACATGTGAAATGTGTGGGTTATGACACACTGCTGCTTAAACTCATGACCCGCTTAAACATTCAGACTTGGTGAGTTTGTTTTCATTAAATCAGCCGACAGACACTTTCTGATCTTTATGACATCATCACGTGTGTCCATGTTTGACCTGGAGTCCCATCGATGGCGGTCTCCATGCTGGAAATGCTGTCTCAGTCTAACTTTCAGTCAACCTAACGACAGGCTGAGAGCTGGAGCTGAGGCGGGTTTTAAACCTCCTGACAAACCGTTACACCGCGCCCACCTGCCAATCATGTCAGCTACACGCCTTATTGTGAATAACTCTTATCCTTCATCAAATCAAAACTGATGAGTCATCAAAACATTCACCCCCCCCCCATACAGTGTGTGTCGATCGAGACATGAGCTAATCAGACCTATTTGTTTTTTTGAACCAGGCTGTAAACATGTTAATCTCTGCTGTAAAAACAGGCTTTTTAGATTGGGTGTGTATGTGACTTCCTGTGCTTCTGCAGCCAGCCTCTAGTGGACACTCGAGGAACTGCAGGATTTTTACACTTCAGCATCGGCTTCATTTTTCACAGCTTTCATTGGGAGGCTGTGACTCAGTTGGTAGTCGTCGCTTCTCAACCTGAAGGTCGAGGGTTCGATTCCTTAGCTGGGCAACATGTCCGATGTGTCCTTGGGCAAGACACTTAACCCTTGCCCCTGCTGCTTCGGTGGTGGTGTATGAATGGGATTAGTTACTTCTGATAGATGATGCTACATAGCGATCACTACCATCAGTGTGTGAATGTTTAGGTTTGACCTGCAGTGTAAAAAGCACTTTGAGTAAATATCATCACTTTAATCAGGAGTCAACTCCCATGGTTCACAGAGAAGAGACAGTGTTACGTTGAATTCTGCTACCCATGGAGATGTGGTGCATGCTGCTTTGTTTCCTCTGACATCTTACAGAAAGGTTTTATTAGAGAGGATGGAAAAGCACTTCCTGTTTTGTCACAGTGTAAACACAGAGAGAGTCGAGGTGTTTGAAATGATTTTGATTCTTATCCACAGATACACTTCCCCTGAAATCTACAATAACAGAGAACCTAAACCATCTCCACACTGTGTGTGTGTGTGTGAGTGTGTTCTTCATTAAGTTTAATTTCTGCTGCAAGTTTCTTCCTTTTCTCACTTTTACTTTTACTCACCCGAACCAGAAATGAGAGGGAATCCATCCAGTGGTTTGCTCAGTGACATGTGAGATGAAGGTATAGGACAGGTGTGATCAGAGCTCACCTGACTTGATACAGTCCTGGCTGATGGCCTCGCTGCTCATGTTGCTGACGATGTTAGACACGGTGCAGGTGACTCTCTCCTCCTTCACCGCTTCAGCTGAGAGTTTCACAGACTCAACTGTGCACTTCAGCTCTTGGCCGTTCTTATGCCACCTGTAGCTCGATGCTTTCACCTGTCGGAGGGTTAGTGGTTTGGACCTTTTATGTTTTTGTGTCTTCTACAAATAAAAGTATAAAAGCTAAAGAAAACATTGTGTTGTAACATAACAATGAGTAAGGTCTTTTACCTGCTTTATTGTAACAAAACAATGAGTAAGGTCTTTTACCTGCTTTATTGTAACAAAACAATGAGTAAGGTCTTTTACCTGCTTTATTGTAACATAACAATGAGTAAGGTCTTTTACCTGCTTTTTGTAACATAACAATGAGTATGGTCTTTTACCTGCTTTTTGTAACATAACAATGAGTAAGGTCTTTTACCCGCTTTTTGTAACATAACAATGAGTAAGGTCTTTTACCCGCTTTTTGTAACATAAGAATGAGTAAGGTCTTTTACCCGCTTTTTGTAACATAACAATGAGTATGGTCTTTTACCTGCTTTTTGTAACATAACAATGAGTAAGGTCTTTTACCCGCTTTATTATAATATAACAATGAGTAAGGTCTTTTACCTGCTTTTGATAACATAACAATGAGTAAGGTCTTTTACCTGCTTTTGATAACATAACAATGAGTAAGGTCTTTTACCTGCTTTTTGTAACATAACAATGAGTAAGGTCTTTTACCCGCTTTATTATAATATAACAATGAGTAAGGTCTTTTACCTGCTTTTGATAACATAACAATGAGTAAGGTCTTTTACCTGCTTTTGATAACATAACAATGAGTAAGGTCTTTTACCCGCTTTATTATAATATAACAATGAGTAAGGTCTTTTACCTGCTTTTGATAACATAACAATGAGTAAGGTCTTTTACCTGCTTTTGATAACATAACAATGAGTAAGATCTTTTACCTGCTTTTTGTAACATAACAATGAGTAAGGTCTTTTACCTGCTTTTGATAACATAACAATGAGTAAGGTCTTTTACCCGCTTTATTATAATATAACAATGAGTAAGGTCTTTTACCTGCTTTTGATAACATAACAATGAGTAAGGTCTTTTACCTGCTTTTGATAACATAACAATGAGTATGGTCTTTTACCTACTTTTTGTAACATAATGTGACGCCCACAAAATGTGTCATCACATTTTATGTAATGTGTCAATGTTTTTTTTTTTTTTTTTTGGAATAATATTACCAGGAAAGATCATCACTAATATGTGCTATAATAGCCAGATAACAGTACACTTTAGTGTTGCCAGCAGGAGGCAGTGTGGCGCTGGGCTTCTCCCATGTATGGACTCTCTTTGTTATGGGACTGTCGTTTCTTCCTCATTCTACCGAGTGAAGCTGAACTGAAAAGAAGCACAGTTGCCTGTCTCATTCTTTTCTTCTGTTTATACAGTTTTGTATGGTTAAAACACATGTATAAGTGCATATAAATATTGATAAACACAAAGGAAACACACTACATCGCATTGGTAAAGGTAGTTGAACTTTATGTGTTTGTAAAAGTAAAAAAAAAAGCCGGTTGCGTCCTGCCGCTGGTCGCCATGACTACAGTCCTCCCTTGCTCTTGTGATTATAATGTAGTCACACACAACTTCTGCCGGACCTTTTCCTGAAGTTAACGTCAAGATTTGAAATTCTAAATATCAAACATGTTTGAAATAAATCAGGGCGTCCCCGACGATCGCCAGACAGATCAGGGACGTTAAGATTGGATCTTTGTACCGCTCACACTACAAGATAATCTGAGCAGATAATCGGGTCCGAGCAGCCTGGAGTCGGAGCAACCCTGCGATTGTCGGGAAGGAAGAATCGGAGCTCAAATCGGCCCAATTATCCCGCAGTGTGAGCAGGCTTTAGGGAGAGGCGTTTGTGTAGTTACCTTGCACACACAGGACGTTTTGGAACGTCCCGCGTGATATCCCGTCTCGAGTGTAGACCTCGGCCTCGTAAGTCCCCTCCATTTTCTTTGTCACCTGCCTCAGCCTCAGAGATCCGTCCTCAGAGACGTCCTCAACCTTCCCTAAGATCATCAACTCTCCATGTCTTCTGAATATGTTTTCACCGTTACGTTTCCACATTAATCTGTCCGTGGCGTCCAGTTTGACTGGAAGGAGCACCGTGAAGTCGCCCCCTGCTGGAGCAAACTGTTCACAATCAGCATCTGTGACACAGAGAGTGTTTGTTACGTTTCCTCTAGACATTCCTACTCAACTCTGATAATCCAATACTCACAGAAACACAGGAGCCTCATGGGTCAACACAGCTGTCAATCATGATGTCATACTCCTTTTTTATATCATCAACAATAATTGAAACTAAACTTCTCAGAAACATGAACACTGAGACATAGCTCAACATGATAAGAACAGACTGTGGAGACGTCAGAGAAACATGTATCTGAAGTGTATTTAAACTTTATACTTTGACCCTAGTCCATATGTTAACATGGAGGAGCGGAGCTTATGAGCTATACTGCAGCCATTCAGCGGGGAGCTCTAAATGTTCTAGCTTCACTTTAAGGGAGCTGTGGAGTCGTCCATCATTTTATACAGATTGTGATAAAGACTCATCAGTGACCCCTACAGGCTGCAGTGTTGTGGAATACAAACAGGAGGTTCATAAATATATATTTTAAAAATCAAACATTGACTAACGTAATCATACATTAGTAGGGCTTCATGTCTAAAGTTGCTCTTCTAATTTTATTGAGAGATAAAGAACTGAACATTTCTCTGAAGAAATAGTTATCTGTTACAGACCGATATATATATATATATATATCTGTTACAGGCTAAATTATATCTGTTACCTCTTTGGTAACAGATATATATATATATATATATGTCTTTTACCTGCTTTTTCTAACATAACAATGAGTAAAGTTTTTTACCTGCTCTTTTCTAATGTTAAAAGAAAATGAGTATGGTCTTTTACCTACTTTTTGTAACATAATGTGACGCCCACAAAATGTGTCGTCACATTTTATGTAATGTGTCTATGTTTTTTTTTTTTTGGAATAATATTACCAGGAAAGATCATCACTAATATGTGCTATAATAGCCAGATAACAGTACACTTTGTTGCCAGCAGGAGGCAGTGTGGCGCTGGGCTTCTCCCATGTATGGACTCTCTTTGTTATGGGACTGTCGTTTCTTCCTCATTCTACCGAGTGAAGCTGAACTGAAAAGAAGCACAGTTGCCTGTCTCATTCTTTTCTTCTGTTTATACAGTTTTGTATGGTTAAAACACATGTATAAGTGCATATGAATATTGATAAACACAAAGGAAACACACTACATCGCATTGGTAAAGGTAGTTGAACTTTATGTGTTTGTAAAAGTAAAAAACAAACAAAAAAACGTCGGGTTGCGTCCTGCCGCTGGTCGCCATGACTACAGTCCTCCCTTGTCTTGTGATTATATTGTAGTCACACACAACTTCTGACGGACCCTTTTCCTGAAGTTAATGTCAAGATTTTAAATTCTAAATATCAAACATGTTTAAAATAAACGTTAAGATTGGATCTTTGTACCGCTCACACTACAAGATAATCTGAGCAGATAATCGGGTCCGAGCAGCCTGGATCGGGAGCGACCCTGCGATTGTCGGGAAGGAAGAATCGGAGCTCAAATCGGCCCAATTATCCCGCAGTGTGAGCCAGGCTTTAGGGAGAGGCGTTTGTGTAGTTACCTTGCACACACAGGACGTTTTGGAACGTCCGCGTGATTTCCCGTCTGAGTGTAGACCTCGGCCTCGTAACCCCTCCATTTCTTTGTCACCTGCCTCAGCCTCAGAGATCCGTCCTCAGAGACGTCCTCAACCTTCCCTAAGATATCAACTGTCTATGTCTTCTAAATATGTTTTCACCGTTACGTTTCCACATTAATCTGTCCGTGGCGTCCAGTTTGACTGGAAGGTGCAACGTGAAGTCGCCCCTGCTGGAGCAAACTGTTCACAATCAGCATCTGTGGACACAGAGAGTGTTTGTTACGTTTCCTCTAGACATTCCTGCTCAACTCTGATAATCCAATACTCACAGAAACACAGGAGCCTCATTGGTCAACACAGCTGTCAATCATGATGTCATACTCCTTTTTATATCATCAATAATAATTGAAACTAAACTTCTCAGAAACATGAACACTGAGACATAGCTCAACATGATAAGAACAGACTGTGGAGACGTCAGAGAAACATGTATCTGAAGTGTATTTAAACTTTATACTTTGACCCTAGTCCCATATGTTAACATGGAGGAGGTGGAGCTTATGAGCTATACTGCAGCCATTCAGCAGGGGGAGCTCTAAATGTTCTAGCTTCACTTTAAGGGAGCTGTGGAGTCGTCCATCATTTTATACAGATGGTGATAAAGACTCATCAGTGACCCCTACAGGCTGCAGTGTTGTGGAATACAAACAGGAGGGTTCATAAATATATATTTTAAAAATCAAACATTGACTAAAGTAATCATACATTAGTAGGCTTCATGTCTAAAGTTGCTCTTCTAATTTTATTGAGAGATAAAGAACTAAACATTTCTCTGAAGAAATAGTTATCTGTTACAGACCGATATATATATATATAATATATATATATATCTGTTACAGGCTAAATATATCTGTTACCTCTTTGTAACAGATATATATATATATATATATATATGTCTTTTACCTGCTTTTTCTAACATAACAATAAGTAAAGTTTTTACCTGCTCTTTGTAATGTTAAAAAATGAGTATGGTCTTTTACCTACTTTTTGTAACATAATGTGACGCCCACAAAATGTGTCATCACATTTTATGTAATGTGTCTATGTTTTTTTTTTTTGGAATAATATTACCAGGAAAGATCACAATATGTGCTATATTACTCTATACTCTATATATTACACTAATAATCATCGTTACTCTATACTTGTAATGTGTTGACAATAGTGAATCTCATCTCATCTATAATACCAGATAAGTACACTTTAGCGTCACCAGCAGGAGGCAGTGTGGCGCTGGGCTTCTCCCATGCATGGACTCTCTTTGTTATGGGACTCTCGTTTCTTCCTCATTCTACCGAGTGAAGCTGAACTGAAAAGAAGCACAGTTGCCTGTCTCATTCTTTTCTTCTGTTTATACAGTTTTGTATGGTTAAAAACACATGTATAAGTGCATATAA